TTCTTACATGAACCGCAGGTGAAGACATAGATGTGGACATGGGCATAAACAGACCAATCCATATCTGACTGGGTGCCAGGCAGCTGTCGAGGCCCAGGCTGCCTGGGATGGTCCCAAGTACTGTGACTCAAGACTTCTCTCCACATGTCCTCAGTGGTTAAGAGTGCTCTTGTGGAAAACCTAAGTCTGATTCCCAGAACCCACGGGCCCTCACAACCACCCATAACCCAAGCTCCAGGTGATCTGATGTCCTCTCCTGGCTTCTGCCAGCACCCACCCACTCCTGGCATACATCCAAACAGACACGCACACATTAAATAAGAGCAGCGAGAACCTTTAAAAAGAACCTGCAGTGGTGTCCCTCGCCTTAGCCCACCGGCTTCATGGCGCCCGCCTTCATAGCAGGGCTGCGTACAGTGTGTGAGGAAAGAGAAATAGATTCATGCGTGGATTGAATTCAACCTGCCTTCTACAGGATAGACAGGTTGCTGTAACCACATGGCTATGGGATCAGGAGCCTATAGACCACTGAGAAAATGTTTCCCTTAAAATTACTGGCTAGAAACACCAGCATCTCAGTTTACACATTAAAAAATAAAATGTGCTACCCCTAGAGAGAGAGGCCTGTAAACCTCGTATGGAGAACCTGTAATTTGGAGCAGCAGGGGAAAGGTTAGTCGGGCACACACTGTATTTTCCGTCTCTGTTTACCAGGTATACAAGCACTCCCAGCGAGCAGTCCCCTAACCGAGCACACTTCTGTGAATGGCAAATGAGACTCGCTGTAGACTAAATTCTTGAGTACATACCATTAACTTAAGTACATACCATTTTCTATGCATTTGGGTTTTTTTCTTTCTTTCTTTTTTCTTTTTCCTGCTGGAGATTTCAAAAGCTCCCTTCTCAGCTAAGTCGTAAAGCTTGATGGTTCACTGTTAGATCCCTTGATGAAGCAAAGTGAGGCGGTGCACGCCTGGAGCCCCATCACGCCAGGGCTCGTGAGCATACGAGAGAAGACCTCTACCTTAGAACTATATCCCCAACCCAAATAAACACTTTTTTTTGCAGTGCCTGGACTCTAAATTCAAGACCATCTGCATGCCAGGAGAGTACTGTGCCACCGAGCTAAAACCCTGCCCTTTCTCTTGGTTGGGTGGTTGGTTGGCTGTCTGGCTGTCTGGCTATCTCACTGGTTGGCTGGTTGTTTGGTTGGTTAGTTGGTTGGCTGACTGACTGACTAACTAGCTGAATGTGTAGCTTCACAAACTCTAGGCAAGAGGTTAGTTTTATTGTATGGGGTTGAGAATAAAAACCTGAGCCTTGCGTGTTCCAGGCAAGCACTCTGCCACTAAACCTATAATTCTATTTACAGAAGATTTACCCTATAAGTGTGAGATACACTGAGAACCACTGGAGAGCTATACCCTCAGTCAAACATTTCCTTCATCTGGGTTTTCATGTCTGTGGCATGACATTCCTAAGAACAAATGACAGTTCCTTCTATGTCCCTGAAACCTCTTCACGATCAGCAAGCTAACAGAAATAAAGTGGGGTTCAGCCAAAGCCTCGGGGCGAACAGAATAGACAGCTGTGACGAAGAACTCGGGATAAAAACAGATAGGGAGGAAGAGGAGGAGGGACCTTTTGCAGTGTGGTACATTGTTTTGGGAATTCAGATTAATGTTGATCAAACTCCCAAGACATGCTCCCAAGACAGGAAAGATGGGACACACCTTAGCCTGTCAGCGTATTATCCTAGAGTCTAACAACACCAGAGGGTAAGGGTGCGGACTCAGTTTTCCCTCGACATCACCTAGATGTTTCCAACCACTGTCTGAACAGTGGAGAGCAGATTCTGTTTAGCAGTCATTCTCCACCCAATGCTAGTGACCCTCTTACTGCGTGTGCATTTTGAACAAGCGTGTCCACTGTTGCGGAACAGTGCAGTAGACTAGAAGCTGCACCTGAGGAGAAGATTCTCAGACAAAGCTTTTGCTCTTAGGTCAGAAGCAGGTGTTAAGGCTCAGCAGAACAGTGGTCCTGCTCCATCCAAGCTCTCGTGATCCTGGCGGGAGCTCCAGAGCTCCACCTGTATCGCAGAGTCATCCCAGCCCACAGGCCCAGAGGTCCAGAGGACCATAGGAGACCACTGTCCCCCACCATGGTGGCTCCGCTGATAGGACCAAATGTTTGGAGCTGCTCAAGGTGGTGAAGGCATGGGTCTCATTCCACTGCAGCCTTCTCCAGCGGTGCGGTGGCGTAGCCAGAGGCCTCTCGGTTTCTTCATCTTCAGAATGGGAAGGGGGAGGGGTGGCAGAAATGGATGGAAACACACACACAAACACACACACACATACACACACACACATGCTCACATACACACACATACACACACATACATGCTCACATACACCGCACATACACACACACATACACACACATACACATACACACATACACACACACAAACACACACTCCACACAAACACATACACATCCACAGACACTGACACACACACATATATACACACACACACACACACACACACACATGCTCACATACACACACATACACACACACATACACACACATACATGCTCACATACACCACACATACACATACACCAACACACACACACACACACACACACACACACACACACACACATCCCGCTGTGAGGGTGGCAGTTTCAATAAGGAAACTGTTGGGAGTGAGTGTCTCTGAAGAGTTGTAAGGTTGTTTCCCTTTGCAGCCAGGGTTAATTAATGTGACTGTGTCCCTGGATAACCACTGCAGTCAGCATCCCTTCCTCCTGCAGTAGCTCCAGGGACAAGGGCAAATCTAAGGAGGCAAGCTGTGAAGATACCCCGAAGGCTGGGATTCTAGCAAGGTGTCAAGGCCCTGTACTCAGACAAAGTTGCCGCAGGGGTCCATATAACCAACTGACCTCATTTGGCTGACTCTAGCATCCAGGAGAATTAAAGGCAAAAGCCTAGGGAAAGTGCCATGGATGCTGTCCTTGCAGAACACTGTAACCTCTACAGAGACCAGCGTAGCAAAACAATCTATCAAAATTATGAATTCATTTTATCTGTAGCCACAAATTTGCAATTCTAGAACCTGCCCTGCAGGAATATTTGTGCCGAGTGTATTTATAGGAATTTACTCACTGAAGCAGCTTCCCTAAAACAATCAGAATGAGAACAGCTCTGCTCATCAATAAAAAGCAGGTTAAAAATTAATTATGGTCCTAATCACCAGATAGAATACTATGTACCCAAGAATACCATGCTGAGAACATCCTGTATTGACAGAAATTTCTCTAGAATACACTGCAAAAATAGACACACCCACACACACACACACACACACACACACACACACACACACACACACACACATTCAGGTGTATCCTTGGATATCTGGAAATCACTTTTTTGTGTACCTGGAAAGAGACACCTATATGTGGTATTCTAGCATCATTTCTGTTGCTGTAATAAAATGCCATGACTTAAAAGCAACTTTGGAGAGGAAAAAGGGTCTCTTCAGCTTACAATTCCAGGTGTGTGTCCACCATTGAGAAGTCAAACACCCAGTCACATGGCATCCACAGTCAAGAGCAGAGAGAAGCAAAAGCCACGTGGTTGCTCGATTGTTTTTCTTACCCTTCTTCATTCTTACTGATCAATTAAGAATCAAAACAATTCCCTACAGATTCCATGGGTCAACCCCATCTAAATAATTTCTATTAAGACTCTTTCCAGATATGACTCTAGGCTGTGTCAGGTTGACAGTTAAAACTAACCTGCACGTTTGGCACCCTCTGGGTAAGGAAGTAGGAAAATAAGACAGGCAATGATATGGGTGGTGATGAGAAGTCCCTGAACAAGCATGCCCCCAACACACTGGGCTGCTCTCTAAGGAAAAGTCACCTCACCAAAGGTAAAAGGAGAGCTTTAGAGACAGACTCCAGAAAAAAGAATCACCGTTTGATCTTTCCTCATTTTATGCTTAAGAACTAACAGACTGTAGTTATGGCCAGGGACAGAGGCTCACATCAAAAATGCTTACTACTTGGCCCTTTACTGAAAAAGATGTGCCAATATCAACTTTAAATTAGGGAGTGTTCACAAGACACCAGTGACCATGCCTATCCATTACCTTCTAACATTGAAGAAATTTTTCTTCTTGAAGCTAGTTCTTCTGTCCACACATAATTTATCTCCAAAAGAATGAGACTGAGCTCCTGGAGTACAAATGAAGTGAGGGCAGAGGGACAATATGAGCAAAGGAGTCAAGACCGTGAAGGGGAAAACGGCAGAACCAGCTGACGCGCGCTAGTGGGAGATCAGTGACTCGGGTCTGACAAACGGGGACCCTGCATAAGACAGAACTAGACTCCCTTAATATAGGCGACAGTGGTGAGGCTGGGACAAAAATGAGGCCACCTGCAGTGGGTCCAAGACCTAACTCTAATGCACAGACTGACTTAGTGGAGCCCGTTCTGTGTGGAGAGACACCTTGCCCAGCCTGGACACAGGGGTGTGGGGTGGAGAGGCGCCTTGGTGCTGCCTCAATGAGATGATGGGACAGACCTAGACTTCCTAGGGGAGGCCTCACCCTCTCCAAGGAGTAGATGGGAAGTGGGGGGGGGGAGTGGGAGGAGCAGGAGGAGAGGAGCCAGGGGGACCTGGGATTGGAATGTAAAAAAATAAATTAATTTAAAAAAAAAAGATTGACACTGGATTCTGTACCAGATGCCAACAGATCATGGACTCAGGGCAGATGACCTAGGCTCACTCACCCTTTACCTTTGTGCCTTCCCACTGCATGGCTTGTAACAATGTAACTCCTGAAATGCTATTACATATCTATACAAGCATCTGGAAATTCTTCCCTTAATGGGGTTGTTTCCAATGTCAAGCATTTAATGTTAGCAAGGAGCTTAAACCTATCTGTCAATGTTACTGTCTAATGCTTTGATTATTTTTAAAACAGGGTGATGATCAACTAAATGTGTTTGGAGAGGACACCATGGGAGGTGAGTTCCCTTTGCTAATCAGAACACAGCCTCAAATATGCTTTGTTGTTGTTGTTGTTGTTGTTGAACACAAGCTAAGACGATTAAAAACAACAATGGAGAGTTTTCCCCTGGCCAGTGAACATGAGCTATCCTGATGAGGAACCACAGACACCATTACTAAGAGATGCATTCCTAACTGCCCAGAGAACTGGCACCGAGAAGCTCAGTGAGAAGCAGATGCTCCTGTGGACACTCACTGTCTGTCCCCACTGGAAGTCACATGTGTCTCAGTGTAGATGTGGGCACACTCACTGTCTGTCCCCACTGGAAGTCATATGTGTTTCAGCGTGGATGTGTACACACTCACTGTCTGTGCCAAGGGGAAGTCACATGTGTTTCAGCGTGGAGGTGTGCACACTCACTGTCTGTCCTCACTGGAAGTCACATGTGTTTCAGTGTAGATATGTGCCCACTCACTGTCTGTCCCCACTGGAAGTCATATGTGTTTCAGCGTGGATGTGTACACACTCACTGTCTGTGCCAAGGGGAAGTCACATGTGTTTCAGCGTGGAGGTGTGCACACTCACTGTCTGTCCTCACTGGAAGTCACATGTGTTTCAGTGTAGATATGTGCCCACTCACTGTCTGTCCCCACTGGAAGTCATATGTGTTTCAGCGTGGATGTGTACACACTCACTGTCTGTGCCAAGGGGAAGTCACATGTGTTTCAGCGTGGAGGTGTGCACACTCACTGTCTGTCCTCACTGGAAGTCACATGTGTTTCAGTGTAGATATGTGCCCACTCACTGTCTGTCCCCACTGGAAGTCATATGTGTTTCAGCGTGGATGTGTACACACTCACTGTCTGTGCCAAGGGGAAGTCACATGTGTTTCAGCGTGGAGGTGTGCACACTCACTGTCTGTCCTCACTGGAAGTCACATGTGTTTCAGTGTAGATATGTGCCCACTCACTGTCTGTCCCCACTGGAAGTCATATGTGTTTCAGCGTGGATGTGTACACACTCACTGTCTGTGCCAAGGGGAAGTCACATGTGTTTCAGCGTGGAGGTGTGCACACTCACTGTCTGTCCTCACTGGAAGTCACATGTGTTTCAGTGTAGATATGTGCCCACTCACTGTCTGTCCCCACTGGAAGTCATATGTGTTTCAGCGTGGATGTGTACACACTCACTGTCTGTGCCAAGGGGAAGTCACATGTGTTTCAGCGTGGAGGTGTGCACACTCACTGTCTGTCCTCACTGGAAGTCACATGTGTTTCAGTGTAGATATGTGCCCACTCACTGTCTGTCCCCACTGGAAGTCATATGTGTTTCAGCGTGGATGTGTACACACTCACTGTCTGTCCCCACTGGAAGTCACATGTGTTTCAGCATGGATGTGTGCACACTCACTGTCTGTCCTCACTGGAAGTCACATGTGTTTCAGTGTAGATGTGTGCACACTCACTGTCTGTCCCCACTGGAAGTCACATGTGTTTCAGCGTGGATGTGTGCACACTCACTGTCTGTCCCCACTGGAAGTCACATGTGTTTCAGCGTAGCAAGACCACATAGTAATGTTCTTCTGCTCAATATTCTTTTTTATTTAAAAATTATTTTTCATTTTACATGCCAACCCATGTTCCCACTCCCTCCCCTTCTTCAGCCCCCACTCCCCCTTCCCACCCCTTATCCACTCCTCAGAAGGGTTAAGGCCTTCCTTGGGGAGTCAACAAAGTCTGGCATACCAAGTGGAGGCAGAACCAACTGCTCAATATTCTTCAAACTTAATTGGTACATAAAAACTTCACAGTGGTGGTACCAGTCAACCGAGTTTGTCTGAGGTGCAGTTATTGCTAATTGAGTTGGAAACAGAATCCTTTTCCCCAAATAGCAGTTAGTGTATGACAGTGTCCCATTGAGAGCCAACCAAGCACACATCCTGAAGAAAGTAGTACTACTGTGTCATTTTTTCAGCTTAAGGATCCTCAAAGCTCTAGGGAGTGTTTGTCTGACACGCTCATCGCCCTGGATTCAGTCACTGGGCTTTCATAGCCTAAAGTGATGGTGCATACCTGTAATCCCAAAATTTAACCAGTGGAGACAGGATTATGAATTCAAGATTATCCTCAGCTACATAGTAAGTGTCAGGCTAGCCTGGGATACATGAGACCCATGTCTCAAAAATGGTCACTTAAAAACTAAAACGTCCACTCCATGCTAGCTATATATGGAACTGAAAACAGATCAAACACTGTGAATTTAATAGTGCTTATAAAAGATGAGCTTCATAATTGCCTAGGTTAATATATTCTGTCCTGCATACTTGGAAAAAAAAAGTCACCATGGTTTGTGGAAATAGGTTTGTAGTATTGGCTGTAACTCACACAAGTGATTTGGCTTTTTAAATAACCCCAGCTCTAATTCCCCATTGATCCATGAAGGACTAGATAAAGTGTTATTCAATGAGAACAGAAACAGCAGTGTGTGAAAATACCAGTCACCAAATGCTTGTGCCAATTGTCAGGGAACTCGGCCCCGCCCATGGCCAGCTCTGTCTGCGCTACCCCTGGGATGGATAACTGCTGTATGAAGTTCCTTTATCCCTGGTTATTACATCAGCACACTCACTGCAGAAGCATTTTTAGGTAGAACACTAGAACCATATAAAACGTTATGACCAACAGCATTGGTGCCTAACGTCCTGGCATGCCTCCCTTCAGCTATCTTCATCCTGTTCTTACCCCACTGAGAATCTATGTGTATGTATAAATATCGTCACACTCTTTAGCATATTGTTATATAAGCATGTTCTCAAGTCACTGAAAATTATTACAACTTAGTAGTCACTACGTTGTATAAATATATGATTATCAACTAAAAAATCATTTTAAACCAAAATATGGTATGAGCTCTCCTGAAAACAAGAAAACAAAATATTGCCACAATAAATGTGGCCCCCCTACTTAAATTGCAGATGTGTTCAAAGATGCTCAGATAAGCTGGCAGGCTGCCAAACACGTGAGGAATGCGATGTATCTGACATAATAGAAAATTCCTGACACCCCCATGGCCATGGCACAGGCCTGTAACCCCAGCTACCCAGGGAGCCAGGTCAGAATAGCCAAAGTTCAGTGCCACCCTGAACTCAGGGTGAGTTCAAGGCTAGCCTACACCACTTAGTAAGACCCCACCCCAAATCAAAAAGTAAAAACCAAAGGACTGGGATAGGCTGGAGAAACGAGTCCACAGTCAGGAGCACTATCTGCTCTTCCAGAGAACTTGGGTCAGCTCCCAGCATCCCTGTGGAGGCTCACAGCCATCAGAAACTCCATTTCCGGGAAACCTGATGCCCTCTTCTGGCTTCTGTGGGTACCATGCACACCTGTGGTGCACAAACATACACGCAGCAAGAATATATGGAGTAAAAAATAATAATCATAGGTGTTGAGGGCTGGGATATTGCTCAGCAGTTGACCCCATGTGTGAAACTTTGAGTTCCAGACCCCAGTAAAAACACACAATCACCATCTCCACCCCCACCAAGCCCCACATCCCTCCCCTGTCTAGGTCAAGCCTGTTGCTTGTGGGAACAGAAATGTAGTTCTTATGTACTTACCCCCCAGGTTCCCAATTCCAGCACTTGGCAATCCAAAATAATTTAGGATCCCACAAACTCCAGACATCTTCATACTTTTCCCTATGCTAAATCACGTCTCCTTAAAGCAGCGGTTCCCCAAATTCAGACCTTGTTGTCACTGTCATGGTTTTTGCTATGTACTACTGATTTTATTTGCTACTTGTTTGGTCTTGTTCTACAAACTGACTCATGCTTAATGCTTAATATAGATGAATATAGATATTTTAAAGGAAATTTTACATCACAACTTCAAACACCAAGTGGCATTGTCTGCTCTAGCTATAAACTATTTTTTGTCTCTTTTATTAAACAGGATGGTGGCAAATGGGAAATTTTGGTCAGGGTGGGGTGGATTTAGAAGGAGCAGGGAGAAGACCGGAAATGAATACAGCCCATTGTGTGCCTATAGGAAATCCTTAAGAAATCAAAATGCTACATTTTTAAAGTGAAAGAACAGATATTTAAGAAAACTTAAGTATAAAGTTTAAGATTAATATTGAAGGAAACTTAAGCATAAAGTTTAAGATTAATATCTAAGAAAGCTTAAATATAAATTGTAAGATTGGCTTTATGTCCAGGCAGAGTGCACACCTGTAATCCCAGCACTCAGGGAGCTGAGGCAAAAGAGTGGAGAGTGGAATTCCTGCTGAGTTTGAGGCCAGCTCGGGACACACAGTGAGATCCTGTCTCAAGAACAAAGGAACAAAAACCCCCAAACCAAAACAGAAAATGAAGTTGGCTTTGCTTGTGAGTCACGCTATTTGGTGGTATCAGTTTTACGCTTAGGAAAAATCTATATTTAAATAAAACCACTGCTATGGGAAAAGCCTAAGCAATCACTAGCACCTGTTCATCATGGCCTGCTTGTTCCACATGGACTCAACTCTACAGAGCATGAGCAGGGTCAGGCTTTGGTGCAGCATTTCTTGCCAATAATTTAAATTATTCTTATTTTAAAGGCTTAACGGAGGATTTGAGGAAACATAAAATTATTTTCCTGATGGGTGAGTAACAGCTCTCAACTTTTCTAATATAGTTATTAATAATATTGTAATAGCAGAAAAATTGTATTCATCTCTCATTCTGTCCTGCTTTTGAAATCATGCTCCTCTTTTGATCAAAATAATACCCCTGAGGTTTCCAGATGGCTGTGTGCGTAAATATGCAATTACTTTTTCTGCCTTGTTGCTTTTCAGCATAGAAAAGGCAGGGCTGTAGGACTCTCAGCCCCCAGGCTCAGCTCCCTCGCAGTGGATGTCTGACACTCACATTTGCTATTTGACTGCCAACCCTATACTTAAACGACATGCACAGTGACCACGTATGAAAGCGCACCTCCCTCGACACACACCGTGTTCTGCACAGCTCACAGCAAAGTCGTCTAGCTTGGGCTGAGTGTGCAGCCCAAGGCTAGAGTGCTTGCCTAGAATGTGTGAAGCCTTGGATTTGACCCCCAATAGCACACACACTCAAAAGATTCATTTCTTCAATGTTCTAGTAGAGTGATGTCTTCTAACGACTCGTGGGATAAGATTCCTTAAGATGAATACTGTGCTCCCGGGTGCCTCAGTCGTGTGGCCCAGCCCCATTCCGTCTCCCTTACACAGACAAGAAAGCCAACACTTGGCAAAGTTAAGGGACTTAGCCAAGATCATGGGGTAGAGATTACCTTTACTTGTGGACAGGAATGAACAGGTTATGCAACAGTTTAAAATGTGGGGAGGAGCTGGAGGCGTGGCTTAGTGACAAGAGCTCTTGACAGTGACGTTCAGGGTCTTGGGTTCAATCCCCAGCCCTCTCCAAAACATGTCAAGTCAGCAGAATGCATCCCCAAAGTTACACTTTCCTGTTTGTTATTCAAGTGTGTGTGTGTGTGTGTGTGTGTGTGTACATATAAATGTATATATGTATATATATATGCAAGTAGCCACACCTTGTCATTTTCCATGAAAGTATCTATTTATACTTATAAATAATGCATGACTCCCTACCTCTTCAAGAATGGGAAAGAAACTGTGTCATCCCCAGAGAAATACAATCAGATCAACTTCTGGTCATGTATGTTGACTTTAGGACAATACCTTGGGAGCTTCTGGGGTAAATCTCCCTTCTTGTCAGGTGGGGAGAATGACACCCACAGAAGCTGATAGGCTGGCCAATGTCACTCAGTTACCTGGTGGCAGTCTGGAGACCAGAGTCTGTGGCTGCCTCTCCTTGTAGCAGGTTTTCACCCTCATAGCACAGCCATGTGAGCTGTCACCTGAGCTCCTGGCCACCGGCATTAACAATTTGAGGGGACTGTGCTGGGACGGAGCCCGACACCCCAACCTAAGGAAGGAGTAACTGACTGTTCCCATCCCCTGAGAAGTGTGACTCAAGAGCTAAACAGCAAAAAAGAGCATTCTAGGCTAAGCCTTGAGAGATCACATGGGCATGACAGGACGGCTTCCCCGAGGAGACCATGTTGAGGTAGAGAAATGGGAGCTGGAGAAGAGTCTCATGGGCGGTGACAGACGGGAAAGTCTAGCTGAGGACAGCACGTGTCTGTGAGAACCCCTGAGCTTTACAGTCTCACTAGGGCTCCTGTGCTTGCCTCTGGTTTAGCCATCGGTTCTTATATACTTGGGCTGCATTCTCTCAGAAAGTAAAAGTGTATTTCTTAACCTTTACTGGTTAATTTCAAAGGGAAAATCAGTCCTGCTTGTGGCTAACTAAAACTTTGTAACAACCTGTTTTCTAGGCTTGAGCCCTTCCTTATACCTTATATTTTCGTCTCTGTTCCGATTTTATGTTAGGGGAAGGAGCGATCCTTTAAAGTTAGTACCCAGAAACCCAGAGTGGTTTCAGTCATGTGACAACAGTACAGACCCCTGGCAACAGTGTTTCCAATTTTCCCATGCCTTGACTGCTCGAGTCTTGGAAATACCTTGTCAGATGTCGCCTCTGGTATGGGCATAGGTGAAGGCCTCCGGTCACCTGCTGCACAGAGCTGTGGCCTTTAGAGACTCAAAGAGCACAGTGTGGAATTGTAGACAGCGAGACTGGACATGAGACCGTCCAGGTCCCTCAATTCTTCTTTCTCTGAACAGAAGAATTCTCTTGGATCTGACCAGATTCTCCTGTTCTACTTATTGGTGCTCTGTTTGGAAAAATGAAACAATTTACTGTGTAGACAGAAGGGACAAAGCCACTGTGATACAGGGAATTGACTTCTCTTTCTCTAAAAACATCTATTAAAATTGAGGCCTAGGCTCTAAATGCTCCCATGACAAACAGCAGAATGACTGTATTATCACAGGTCAGTTTGAAGTCATGAAGTCCCTGAGAATACGAAGGCACAGTTAGAGCTGTTTGGGTAAATTTTAACAAGGGCCACAAGCTGTCAATGGTACAAGAGTGGTTCTGTCTACAGAAGAAGAGTGTGCGTGAGAGCTAGCACACACAGGCCCTGGTGCCATCCCCACACCAAAGGTCGATATAGACGACCTTCGTCAAGGTTTCTTTGACTACAAAAGGACTCTGTGGACAGTTTGGGCTACACAAAACCCTGTCTCAAGAAAAAGAACAGTTTTTCCCCTGGATTGTGCAGCTAGCAATTAGTGTCTTAGCTCCAGCCAGAGCAGCAGTAGAGCTTCAGAACTGGCAGCGCCCAGGTGGACATGTTCACTGTTGTGCTTAAAACAAAGTTAATGTCTCACACGTTCTTGCCTGTATTCAAGTCCCATCTGCTCCTGCGGAACGGGACAGACCCCAGCAGACTGTCCTCATTACTGCATGCTGGCTGGTCCAGTCTCCTTCCTGCTATAGCCCAGGTCAGCCTTTGACTCCAGCTCTGTCTACACCCTATGGTCCCTTGAGCTGGCCTCCTTGTCATTCTGTTTCACTGGAGGCAGCTGGTCTCCCGTCACTCAAGGTCGGGCTTAACTTCCTGCTCCTTGGAGTTCCTTGTCCCTGGCATCTGAACCCACTCATCTGGATGGCCTATAACTAGTGAAAAAATAGATGTTGGAATAATGAATTCTTTAGGAAGTAGTGTGGTCTGTTTCCATAACAACTGACAAGGCACTCAGGATTCCTGGACTGGAACTGGCAGGCAGGTTCTGGTGCTGGGGCTGTCTGGAGGGAGAGTGCCAGGTGAATTATGAGCTTCTACAATGGATGTTGCACCACCCTCTCACCGACAGCAGCGACTTTCCGCCTAGGGAGAACCCCCCCCCCCCCCGCTTAGGCCTAAACTTGCTGTGGAGCAAGGGGGTGCTCTCCCCCATTGCAGTGGGATGAATGTTCGGGAACAGTGTTCCCTCCTCACCAAAGGGGCAAGTACAAGGATAAGCTTAGTTGACTTCTGACTATGAATATCACTGTTCCTTCCGTTCCTGAGGAGAGAAGCCGGGTGACTGTAGAGAAATACCCTTTCCAAGGACACAGGCACTTTCCCTGCAGGGTAAGCAAGCAGACCACATGGCTTTGTAGAGACTCCATAGGCTTTGGATAGTCCCACACGAGATTCAGGAAGCTTTGCTCACACAAGATGGGCCCAGCCACTCCTGAACTTGGGAAGCATTTGGAGAATGTGCCTCAAGAGCTCCTCTGTGTCCTACCAAGCAGTGTCTACCATTTTTCATAACTTCTTCTATGACCCCCCTCTCCTTCCTCTCCTCCTCCCTCCCTTCCTTCCCTTGAATATTATCCTGCTATTGCCCAATCTATTTTGGCTTCATTTTCCCTTCTCCACATTTCAGTGTTGTCTGTGCCCAAAACATCGCATAATCTGAGTCCACAGCGGCTCACCAAAGCACTGATAGAAGAGCTACCAATGTTTGGAAAACGCATCTGGTTAATCGGGTGAGAGGCGATGCTAATGGCATAATGATAGAGCCATCATTCAATGCTGGAACTTCCAGAGTGTCAGGACACAGATGGCCTTGTTTACGTTGGCACTGGTGCTGTGGGGGACTGTTTTTAAGCATTGTGATGGCAATCTTGATTGCCAACCTAGTTGGGTTAATAAACACATCTAGCTAGTCTGGGAGGGGTCTCCAAAGAGAACTGTTAGATCATGAGATGTCTGACCTAATCAGTGGAATTATTGATCCGTTGATGGATTCATAGTGAGATGACGTTATTGGGAGACCATGAAGGTGAAGGAGGGAACCTTGTTGGAGGAAGGAGTTCCTGGGACCTCCTCTGGGGGATGTCTCGTGTCTTACCACTTCCTTATCCCTTTTTTCTCTGCTTCTTGGTTGCTGTGAAGAGAACTGTTCAGCTCTACCATGCTCTCACAGCCCTGAAGGAGCAATCCCTCAGAGACCATGAACCATAGTCAATCTTCTGGCTTTTAACTTGCTTTTCACAGATCTTCTGTCACAGCGATGCAAAAGTCCAATTAACACAAGCATCAACTTTGGGAGATATTCTGATAAGATTTTGTGTCGTTACATGCCTTTTTAGCCACTACACAGAGACCTATTTATTTTCCTAGAGAATTGAGAGTTTTTCCCGAAATTCAATATTAAATGACTGTTATGACTTCATTATAACCCCATTGTCTTTGTATTGTATCCTGTTATGAAAGAACTATGAATTACCTTCCAGAAGTATCTACTTGGGAATCGGCATGAATATGTTGGTTCCATCAATTTGTGTGCTTGTTTAAATCTGCTATAAACAATTCCATGCTCTACTCGGCCTCACTGTGATGGGAAGTAGCTTCAGCTTAGCACTTGACACAGGCAAGCACTACAGAAAGCACTTCAGGGTTATTCTGTGGAGTGCTTGTGCACAGGCAAAGGATGAAATGCCTTTGCCAGCCTTCATTTCCCAGTAAGACAAAGAGAAACAATGTATTAGGAAATAGGAAATAGTATATCTTGGAGTGGGGGGGCCTTGAAATACTCTCATGTTGTCAAGAAACATACCGGTTGTTTCTCTCAGAGTGACAGGCTTTATTTACTTTAAAAAAAAAAAATGTTTGCTGGGTATTGGAGACTGACAAGTGGTAGTT